TAATTAATAAGAAATTTCCCCAATTTTGTTGGTGATGAGCGGCGATTCGCTGCGACTCGGTGTACTCTACATTGTAGGTACACCACGTGTTTCATCTACCCTATAACTAAACTACCTCTTCTTTTTATCGATTTTAATTTACAGATATTTTCTAAAAACATTAAATAAAATAGTCGGTTTATTTAATTTAATTTTAGTTTTAAAACGATGCTTTCAATATCTTAATATAAAATTTTAATATTAAATCATATTTTTACATAAAAATATTTAAATCTCATTATTAAACATATTTCTAAGGTTTATATTTATTAAGATAATTATATAAAAAAAAACGTACCATTTTATCATATAACTTGAATTTTGATATTTTTAATGTTTAAATACTATTTAATATTTCATTTTATAAAATTTTAAAATTTGAAATTAGTTAATTATAATAATTTTGTTTGTTTGCTTATGGTGTTGAATTTATATAACAAATTTTTATATATATTCCAACTGATAAAAACAAATAACAATAACTTTTAAAATCATTAAAAAAAAATTTAACCCAATTTCCTAAAATTACCTTTATTAGAAAATGGGGCCTTGCTTATTCAAGTTTCTTTCAAAAAAATAAAAAAATAAAAATATCCTTAATTTTTTTAAAAAAAAAAAAAAAACTTTAAAATACCCTAGAAAAATTTAAAATTTTCATTAATATCTTTAAACATTTTTTAAAACTTTTAAAACACTCTAAATATTATTTTTAAAAACTTCAAATATACCTTTAAACTTTCGTTATTAACGATGAACATTCTAACATTAAAAATGGAGATAATTTATGAGCTGTCAATAGATGATTTTTGTGATGTCCTATATTGGTTGGAGAAGAGAACAAACACATAAGTGAAAGCCTAAAGAGGACAATATCTATTAGTGGTGAATCTGAATGGTTACAAGTATGCTTTTCCATATTTATTAATTTAAGTATTTATTAATTTAAGTACTCTTTTAAAAAACACTTTTAATTAGGCCGTTAGTAGAAATAAATAGAAAATATTAGCTTATAATTATGCTTATTATATGATCTTAATTTTAATTAAATATTTCAAAATAAATAATTAAATGTTACTTTTATTTAAAATTAAATAAATAACAAACAAAAACAATTATTTAATAAATATTTAAAAAAATTATCACTTGAATAATTAAATTAGAATTAAAAAAAAAAGTTTAAACTTATAAAGAATATAAATATAAATAATATACAAAAAACAGCTACCGAAAAAAACCAAACATGTCGTATAAAATTGGGACAAGTAAAAGGGTACAGAAATCATGCATGAATCCAAACACAACTTTTATTATCTTTTTAATTTTTTTATCCGTAATATGGAAAATTCAAATAAGACGACTTAAATGGTTGACATTTTAATATTTTCATGGACATGGAAATTTCTTGTGAAATTCAACTGGAGATCGAGAGGCTTCCAACAATTGACTATTTTTTCACGAAAATAAAATAATATTAATTGTTGGAAAATAAAATAAAATAAAAATTGAGAAAGAAAAAAAAAGCTAATTGACTAAAATTACTTGGTCTCGAAGTTCTAAAAATAATAATTATTTTTTAAAAAATATTTATCTGGATTTTAATATTTAACTTGAATTAATCTGAAATTAATAATTTATTATTTTTTCTGTAAGCCATTATTTTATTTTTATTTTTATTCTTATTTTTTTACAATAAAGCAGTTTAGAAAATTTCAGGAAAAAAAAAAAAAAAAAAGAGGTGTTAAATATTTGCAATACTTGCCCCTAGAATTCCAATAATTGAAAATGGGGCTCCCAAATTCTTGGTATTCCTATTTCAGCACCCAATGCAAAAGAATGGGTCTTCTACTATTTATGTAGTTATTATTAATCAATAAATATCTTATTTTCAACAAATCTCGTAAAAGAAAAAATTATAATGATGGAGAAAATGATGTCGTATTCGCATTTAATGAAACAAATTAATCTACTTGTTTTTATTTTTTCTTTTTATTTTGATTTTTTTCTCATTTAAATTTTAAGTTGTGCGATAGATTAAGGTTTCCACTCCCTTATAAAGGGTGTTTTGTTCTCTTTCCCAACCAATATGGGACATCACAATCCACCCCCTTCGGGACCCAGCATCCTTGCTGGCACTCGTTCCTTTCTCCAATTCAATGTGTGACCCCCACCAAATTCACCTCCCTTTGGGGCCTAGCGTCCTTACTGGCACACCGCCTTGTGTCTACCCCCATTTGGGGAACAACGAGAAGGCTGACACATCGTCTGGTGTCTGACTTTGATACCATTTGTAGCGACCCAGATCCACCGCTAGCAGATATTGTCCTCTTTGGGCTTTATCTTTCGAGCTTCCCCTTAAGGTTTTAAAACGCGTATGGTAAGGGAAGGTTTTCACTCCTTTGTTACAAAGGGTGTTTTGTTCTCCTCCCCAACTAATATAGAACATCACACATCGGTTCATGCTTACCTTGAAACATAATTATCATACTTTTTGCTCAATTGACTTGGCTATGCAACTAACAAAAACTTTTTTGTAAAACCAACTAAGTTATCCATGTGGGTTATTCGGGGAGAGCAATCCAAGCATCGTGCGGCTAGGCGAAGTGATGAAGTGTTGCACCCTAGATGGCGAGAGTCCAGTAGCCAAAAGCATCACTAACTTATGCTCTGACCTAAGTAGTACGAGGCACTAGAATCTCATGTGAATCAGCAAGGACCACCTTGCAAGGCTAAGTACTCTTGGGTGACTAATAGTAAAGTAGTATCACGAGGATAGAGGTAGTTGGTAACTCTCTAAAATTCTATCTTGGTAACGTCATATCATAGGAGATTAGTAACCTTATAGAAACCTACCATAATAAAGGAGAGCGACTTAGTATTTGTCAATTAAGATATATATGTGGACTAGCCACAAATGACTCCATCGTTGCTAGGGACGGCTGGCAACCCACATAGGCTCGACATAGTATATCATAACATGTTGTCGATCTACCATGAAACCCTATTTAACAACGGGAACATCTCCAAACAATGACCACGAGCCCCTCACAATGGTATGGGAAGTTGCAATGATGACATACAACGAGCCAAAATTCTCTTGGACGGTCGTAAATCAATGGAAAAGTGAAATGCATTGCGTTGGATTTGTTGATTGTGTTTTTTTAAGGACTAAAATGAACAAGAACGACGAGTTTCACACAAAATAAACGACGAGACGACCGTGACTAGACGAACCATGGGTAATTTTTCTCGAAGAAATTGGTTAACCAGAACCCTAATTACTTTTCAATGGTCATAAATTAAATATAAAATAATAAAAAGTAAGGAGAGCACCGACAAAGAGTGGGTTTATTTAGTGTTTTAAGAGACAATAGCGGTACAGCTAATAAACACAGAAGGGTGTTCGTGTCTCGTTGACTTTGGCAAAAGGTTTAAGCACTTCGAAGTGGGAGCTAATTTATTTTACATATTTTTGTTGATTCAATAATTATATTTCTAATTTTTTAATTATTGTCAAAGTAATATAAAATTTTGTATTCAATTTAGTTTTATATATAATAAAAGGTAATTTTTGTTGGTAAAAATTTAAGTATTATTTAATCATAAATTGACTTTGCATGGTTGGATAAGCGCGTATATTACATCGACATGTAGTTTAAAGTAATAGATTTGTTGAACTTGGGTTAGGATGATAGATAAGTCGAGTTTCATGTGATGTATGTGAAAATATTTTAATGTAATGACATGTCAAATCGTCGTTTAAGAAATTATCTACATTTTAAACTATAGTTTTTAAAATAAAAATATTTGATAAATTGTCGAACAAGCTAAGAAGTTTTACGACATTTTAACAATTCAAGCTGTACTTCGACAATTATAAAAACTTAATCTTAACCCTTAAGTGTTAGTGGGTTGGGACGGGTCGAGTTCTGACATTTTTATAGACTCAATCAAATTATTCGAGTAGTAAAAATTTCAACCAAAATAACTTTTGTTAAATAATGAATTGTGAGATCCCACGTCGATTAAAGAGGAGGCTAAGTACTAAAGAAGGTGGACACGAGATAGTGTGTCAACAAAGATACTAGGCCCTGAAAGAGGGGTGGATTTGGAGAAGGGAATGATGATAGCGAGGACGTTGGGCTGCCAGATAACTGAAAGAGGGGTGGATTTAGTTGGGACTGAGAACTAAACATTTTTTTTATAAAGGTGTAAAAATCTCTCCCTATTAAACCCATTTTAAAATTTTTGAGGGAAAGCGCAAAAAAAAACCATATCGGTTAGTAAACACGGGCACTCACATTAACCTAATTCAATCTATTTATTAAATATAAAATTAAAATGTTTAGAAATGTAATTTAATAATTTTATTAGAATATAAATGAAGTATAGAAATTAAATATTTACCATAATAGAATTAATATTAAATTATTACACATTTAAATGGAAAAGTTTAGAGAGGAAGCGTGCTTTTTTAAATGGCTATAATACTTTATTACGAGGAAAACGTGGGGAAATAAGGAAAAAGAAAAGTATGAGACGAAGGTGAAATTAAAAAATAAAAATAAAAATAAAAATAAAAAAGGTCGAATTTTATAAGCTGGTGGAGAAAGGGGATGAGATGCGTCAGCGACGGTGAGAAGAAATAGTCTGGACTTGGTATCCGACAAGCAACAAAAAGAGGTCCCTCCAAATTCCAAGCCAATTCGCCAGCTAATCGCCGTCGCCTTCTCTATTGTTACGGCTACCAATTCCTCCACGTAGCACCGCGTTTTTTTTTTTTTTTTTTTTCTCTCC